GGAAAGAGCACCCCCAAGAAATAACATAGGGAGTGTCATCTTTAACCAAAAATAAAAATGCAAAAGCAACTGACCTCAGCCCAGGGATTGGGGCAGTTGAGGGACATGAGAACAGCCAAGATGGTATCAGAGGCATAACCTATTATAAGAGGCTTTAACACCTGTCGCCCCACTCATAGTGTCTTTAGAAGTAGGAACTGGTTTTCTTTGTATCTTTGGTGTGGAATCAGGTTGTGCTGTCTGTTGAATGTAAAACTTTATATTTCGTTACGTACAAGTAACAGTAATTCTGTCTTATGTCCCAAGAGCTTTATATTAAGTTGGTTATATGACTTTCATCTCTTGAGGTTTTTTTGATTGTTTATAATTGTGATTGAGTCTTCATGAACTTAAGTGTGTCTGCAGGGAGTAGTTAACCCCCTTTTCTTGTAGACCTTCTAATTTCACTTAATGTTGAAAAGTGTCTGAAAATGGAAATAGACACAAGTGTGATTGTGTATGCCTCCCCTCTTTAACCCCCCCATTTAAGGAAAGCAGCCATGTTGACTTAAAATGTCAAAATAATATTTAGTTATGACAGGAGGTTCTGGTTGTGGTCATTTTATCTACACATTATTTGTAGGTCTGTTGCTTTCTGGGCTTTAGTTGCATTTTGTAGGATAGAAATATAACTGCCACCTAGTAAAAGTGAAATGGCTTGGCAACCTTAGTTAATTTTTTAAAACAGTTTTGAATAGTTGAAACAAATTAGCAGGTAAGTGCATAGGACAGTTATAAAGTAAAAATAAATTTGAATTTGATACATTTTTCTCTACCTCCTATTCTGGAGGAACTATAAAATACAGGCTGGAGGAACTGTATTTTATTGCGTTGTTTTTAGGATAGTGATTGTTTCTATTCTATTTTCCTCACCCCAGTATGTGAATATTCCTTTAGAATAATCCTTTAGAAATGGGCTGGTATTTCCTTTATGGTTTGATACCTTTCTCTGTTTCCCTAGAAGGGTGTTAACATTTTAATAATTAATTTATAGATTTGGTTCTACTAGTAGTCTAGAGAATAATTGTTTCAACTTACTAGTATTAGTACACAACAGATGCAAAATTGGTATTTTTTTAATATGTTTGTGTTGATTTCAGCGAGAGGGAGAGAGAAAGATAGAAACCATCAGTGATGAGAGAGAATCATGAATCGGCTGCCTCCTACACGCCTCCTACTGTGGATTGAGTGCGCAGTCTGGGCATGTGCTCTGACTGGGAATCGAACCGTGACCTCCTGCCTGGTTCATGGGTCAATGCTCAACCAACTGAGCCACACCACCTGGGCCAGATATGGTATTTTTTGTCACTTAATTTTTCTTGTAAGATGCTAATATTCATGTGGGCATTTGTCACCCCCAGCACATAATTTGATGAAACTGATATTCTGTGTTCTAGAACTTTTATTTCTCAAATTGTGTTTGCTCGTATGAACCGCTTCTTTCTCCTGGTGTATAGGAGATAGTAGAACATGGTGATAGAGTGTTAGATCAAGATTTGAAGAATCCCAGGTGTTGGGTAGCCTTGCAAGTTACTTAACTGCTGTAAGTCTTAGTTTCTTCATCTGTGAGATTACTATAAGCATCAAAGTTGTGAAAGTTATTACAAAGGAATTTGGGCTGTAGTAGTCATGTTAATCGTAGTTGAAATTCTTCAGATCTTACATGCTTATCTGCAAAGTATTTTCTGGTTATTATAATTGCTGTATAGTTGGAGATCTGTAAACCTTATAATATTCTTTGATTTCTGGTCCATTTTTCCTCATTATTCATGCTTATATTTATACTAGAGGCCCCGTACATGAAATTCATGCACTGGAGGGGCGGGGGTGTCCCTCAGCCCAGCCTGCAACCTCTCACAGTCCAGGAGCCCTCAGGGAATGTCTGACTGCCCTGGAGGCAGGAGAGGCTCCCGCCACCACTGCTGTGCTCACCAGCTGTGAGCCCAGCTCAGGGCTTCTGGCTGAGTGGTGCTCCCCCTGTAGGAACACACTGACCACCAAAGGGGAGCTCCTGTGTTGAGCATCTGCCCCCTGGTGGTCAGTGTGCATCATAGTGACTGGTCTTCCTGCCATTTGGTCAATTTGCATATCAGCCTTTTATTATATAGGATTTTTTTGGTCCCAGTTATCATCCCTTACAAAACTAAATGCATTCTTAAATACATAATATTGTCAATATCCATTCACATCTACCACCTCTAGGCCCAACTCTAATGTCTCTATGCTGGTCTAATTTTTGTTGAGCCTAAAACCAAAGACAGATTCTGGGGGTTGATATGGGACCTCCAGAATGGGCATGGCACAGAATAATCTTATTTTTCCTCTATTCTTCTAGTCTGTTATATTCTGAACCCACACATGTTTTCGGAAGGACCAGATGGCTGACACTGGCTAATGGGAACCAAAAGACAAGAGTGAAAGTAACCTGGTTGTCATATTTCCCAAGCTTAGAGGTGTTTCACCCTGCCCTGAGATAAATTTCTTTTTTTCCTCTGGAGACTTTACCCTAGTCTGTCAAAAAACTTTAATACAGCCTGGCTGATCTGAAGTTCAGTTGTCAAGTCAAGCAGCAGCATTTGTTGAATGAAAAAGATTATACTCAGGACTATGGGAGAGAAGCATCTGCCTTTATGAAAGCAGTGTAACCTATGGTTAAGAGCTTGGGTTTTAGAGTCAGATGGATCTGGGTTCATATTTAGCTATACCACTTATGAGCTCCTTGACAATGAGCAAGGTTGCTTAGCCTCTTCAAGCCTCAGTCTTCTCATTTGTAAAATGGGAGATGTAGTAGTAGTATACTCTTCATCTATGATATGAGGAATGAATGAAACATGAATAATTATTTACAGTGTGCTAAATATTAACCTTTGCTGTTTTTTTAAAGAGCTCATAATCAAATGAGAGGATAAGCACAAAGAAAAAAGAACAAGGCTTGAATAGCCGCAAAAACGTTGTGTGAAACATAAAACTGATTAGACGTGTTGAAACTTTAGAGAAAGTGCTAAAATTTGGAATCTGGCAAATTTCTGAGACTCAGAGAGTATATGGAAGAAGATTGATATTATTTACCTTGTGTAATCAAGGCATTCCAAGTTTAGAGAATGGCTTAAACAGATATTTAGGAGTCATTGTAGACCTCTGAGCAGAAGAATGATAAAAGTAGCTGACTTTCTCTGCTATGTGTAAAGAGACAAGTTGACTAAGAAAAAATAGCCATATCTTAGAATTAAGTAAGTTGATCAAACAGGAAGAGTCCTGAGGGCCCAACAGAGTGAGAAAATTGTAGAACTAGGCAATAGACTGAATGGGCAACCAGAGAGGAATAGTCAAAGGTAGATTATAAGGTTTGGGGAGTGAATTTGATGGTCAGGGATCCAGAAGAGAAATCATGAGGTAGGTTTTCTTCTTTGAAGGTGGGGAAAAATCAAGTGCAGACTGAGCTGTGGCCAACGTTTGCAGACCAGGAATCCACACTAGCTCTAATCAGAGAGCTCTTGGTGTGCAGGAACTGCCAGTTTGCCGACGTGAAAAGAGCCCCAGACTGGGTATTGGTGAGCCCTGAAGTCGCACCCCAGCTCTGCCACTCAGTGAGCACGGGTAAGTCATCCACCTTCTCCAGGTGGCCTTGATGGCCCTCCCTCCTCTGAGACTAAAGAAAGGAAGGCCAGAATGCCCAGAGAAGCCTCCTTCCTGTCTCAAATTAGGAAAAAAATCTCAGGAACCTATTTCATGTAGTAGCAGCTCCTAGTTGTGGGTTATAACGAAACCTCTTACCAGGAAAGTCAAATTGCAACCATAATCAGTGACCCAAAGAAGTGAATGTGACACTGGTTCTACTTTGAGGACCTGACCACTGCTTCCCTGGAATGCAGCAGACCTTTGGGATCTGGAGATGTTATAGTTCTCACTCACAAACTTTTGTCCAAGTTGGCCTCACCTGAACACTAGAGAGTTGGTTGCAGAAGTATCTCTGCAGTTTTCCAAGCAGGCAGCAAGAATTCCTATGGTTTTTTAAATTATTATCACTCTTGTATCAGTGTGTCCTAACGTTTTTCATCTCAGACACCAAGTTGGCTGAAGCATAGGTCCAACACTGAATGCTTTTAAAGAAAGCTCTTTAATTCCTGTTCACTAAATGCCATTTCTTTCAGGGTAGATTTAAGGGCTCTGCCCTTAATGTACAGTGCTATTGACCCTAGTTTAAGGGTTCAAGGCAACCCATGGGTTAACTTCAACAGATGAAAATTTTTCCTTGGCTACAGCACCATCCCTAATCCTGACCAGCCATGGAGAGGTTCGGTTCTTACAAGGAAAATGAGTGAATGTGGGAATGGCTCACCACATTGGGAAAACAAAACACATCCTGCTGATGGTTGGCTGAGGACTGTCATGTCCACATACAGAGAAAAGCATGTGGCACAGTTTTAGGACAAAGGTGAGCAGAGATCCACTGTGAAAAGGGGCAAATTTTTCTTATAGCGAGAACATCCAAGGCATGCCCCTTGGTGTGAGCAGTGTTGGTGGGTGATCTCAGGCACACGCATGGAGGCTTGCTTTCCCTTGTTCCCCATATCCACTCCCTGTCAGTTAGCTGGTATCAAGCATCCCCCCTTAGTCAGTCCCTGACCAGTTAGCCACTGATCAGCCTATCTCCAGAGAGAGTCATGCTCATAATTTTTCAGATGGGACTTTTCTCCAGTCTCCCTCTTCAGAGATGATGTTTGGAAGACAGAGGTGACCCTAAGCTGTTCCAAAAGGGGTGAGATCAACTCCACATTCTCTTCAGTGGAACATGCAGAATGGTATTTGGGGACCATTGGTATAGGTTATTAGGATCACAGAAAACCTATTTAGTAATAACACAAGCTCGGATAATTCTAAAGTGAATTCTTCTAAAATTGAAGTCTTGGAGTACTTTAGTTTGATAAACATGTCATTTCAGTTCTAGCATTTCAACGTTCTGACGGATAGCCTGAGCAGTACATTAGGTGTTGAATGAGGAAGACCATAGCTTTGTTAATTAGAAGAATGGACTAAAGTTTAGAGCAGCCCACATCATTCAGTCTGCCATTCGTTTGTGGTTTCCAGATACCTGTCTATACTTGCTAAGCATCATGGTGTCCACTTTTTTTAGGGAGAAAGTAACAGGAACTTCCCTCCCTTCATTTTTTACTCCATTTGTCAGGATAAAACATGATCCCGAGAAAAAGAGTTTGGGAAAAGGCAATAGCAGAGAAATGTTGAAGAAAGTAGTTTTTCTTTTAATTGTTAACTAGAGTATGTTTAATAATTAGGCCATGCTGTTTGCTCTTTATTATAGGCATAGGGGAGAAAGGTTGAGAGATGTGACATGTGGGAGTCCAGCAGGAGGAGGAATATTGGGGGCTTTTTGTTTTTATCAATCCCTGCCATAGAGGGATTTTTAAATTTGTCTTAGATTCAGTCTCCAGAATTCCTTCAACTTCTTTATTCTCATACTAGAATTATTGAAAGATGGTCTTTGTTTTTAATAGAGCAGAAGAGGAGGGTGTCTATAGCTAGAATTCAGAAATGTATCATCTGTTGGGCTGTGTTCCTGTGAGGCTTATTCTCAGGTCACACCAGAGACATGTACACATGTGTGTAATATCACTCTGACAGGTATCAAAAGGAGAGTACTTTGGGGAGCAGAGATTAATTTCATGTTGTTTTAGGCAAAGTACAAAGGGATATTAAGGTGGATTTAAAAAGAGTTCTTTCTAGAAGGCACTAAAATTTCAGAGACAGTTAAAGTATTTAAATAAAATTAAAATTGGGACCCATACAGTAGTTAGAATAGGTATTTTAGAGGGTAAAATTAAATTTATACCTGTCCATCTGTCACTCTTGTATACCTCTGGTGCCTACCACATTGACTTAAATTATCCCATCATTCCATCATTAAGCCAGAGGAGGACTAACTTTTATCTGTCATACTTCTGATGTTAGAAGAAACCTTAGACATATGTAGTGCAGCTACCTCTTTTCATAGGTAAATTAGACCAAGAGAAATAAAATTATTTAAATGTGCTTTTTAGAGTTGGTTTATAGCAGAACTAGGACTAGAACCCAGGCCAGTTCTTGCTTCTGCAGTCTTAATAGTTACAATATACCTCATTTTCCTCATCTGTAAAACAGGGATAATAGACCTGACTCTAAGTATTATGACTATTAAATAAGTTAACATTGCCCAGCATATGGAAATTAAATGTTAAGTAACATTTTATTGTTAATATGTAGTCTTTTTGCTTTATTTAGGAACCCTTTCACTTTATTGAATGAAGTAAGTCATTCTTTGAGTAAAGCAGATCTAATAAACAGTAATGTGTTAGAAGCAACCACACTGACCAGGTCTTTGGTCTTAGCACAGGAGTCCCTTTCAGGTATGGTTTGTGGTTATAGAAAGATACTTGAGTTCATCTTCCAAACCACCCAATACGTCAGTGACAGGTGCCTCATTTACCCTTGGACTGGACTTTGGCATTAAAATGTTCCAAATAAGTTTTGTGGCTTTTCATAGAGTAGTAGCCAAAATTTTTCTGTGAAGTAAATTTGATCATAAGTCAACTATATGACTATCTTGGATAGCCCACAAAAATATGGCTACTATGTGACCCACCTGTTGGGACTTTTTAGAAATAAATATTAAGGAAGGACTATAGGGGCCATTATCCTCCAAAAACACAAATGAATCTCTACAACTCAGGGAAGAATTTTATTGGCAAGTTATGCCTTCCTTCAGCCTCAGCTGCAAAAAAAAGATAGGTCTGTCTTTGAGCATTAACTTTTGTTTGTAGATCATTGTGCCTCCACTTAACAGGTTGTCCTTACTTTCCCTTTAACGTCAGATGAGTTCTGCAGGTAAGCCTTGGCACAGAATGAGCCTGCACAGGAGGATCTCTGAGTCTGGGAGAATGCATTGCCACGTAGGTCTCACACACATCACTTGTTAACAAAAGTTTGGCTTTTTATTTTGGATGATTTGCATAGCATAGGGTCTTGCATTCTCTGACCCCTAAGTAGTTGTAAATCATTATTTTGAACAGATCTGTTTAGATGTTCCTCTTATTTATTTAATCTTTAGGAGTCATTGTTTTCCTTCTGGCATCACATTAATGAGTTGGGGTCATTGAATGGTGCTGAGCCAGAGGGGTGTGGAGGCCATTTCATCCTGCCCTGCCCGTGTTAAGTGTTTTCTCCCATCGCTCTATACTGAGCATCAGGCTCTCATATGATGCCAAGAGCAGTGATGCTGTGGGCAAAGCAGACCTATGACAAGTCTTGACAGCCAAGTTAAGGAAGGTTCTTAATTTAGAGGGGGGTACTTTATTATCTGTTTAGAAATAAACCAAAGAGAAAATAGTTAGTTTTGAATTTTTTTTATTTTTTATTTTTATTTTTTTTTGCTTTTCAAACTTGTTTCTCTAAAAATAATAGTATAACTTTCCTCATGACCCACACTACTTTGGGAAGGAAAAAACAGCAGCAGTACATGATCTATTAGAGATTTTTAGTGACTAAAGCACTTTTTAACATAGAAAGTCACTGATTTGGAGAGGTTTTACCTGCTCTGTCAAATATTACCTCAAGTTCAGTGTCATTCTTATTAAGTTGCTCAGAAATTCTAGCCCATGGAATTATGAAACCATGTTTTAAAGACTTCATAGCCCATGAAGGGAGCCAGGTGACTTCTGAGTTGTGTTACTGCAAAACATTTCCCATTAAACAGCTGGGTGTGTCTGTGTTACATTTTTTAAGGGAGTTGAGATTTAGTGACTCTTAACATTTGAATGCCATTTCAGCATAAAGAACCCTCTAAAGTTGTGCATTGTCACCTTGAGAGACTTGCTAGAAAGGAACCCTTTAGTAAAGAAAGAAATCTGCAAAGCTGAGTTCTCTTACTTAACATGTTGCTGAGGATATATAGCATTACATGTTAACCCTTTTCGGTCCAACGTCGAGGCTGAGGTTGACACCGCAAACCGGTTCAACATTCAATCCCGTCAATTAATTTGGACCAGACTGTTTGAATTCCAAAAATAAAATTGGACCGCAAAGGGTTAAAGAAGCTGGAATCATTTTGGTCAGGCTGGATGAACTTGTAGCAAATCTTTTAATTTGTTTTTAGTTCCAGCATGTTTAAACGCAGAGAAACACTAAGTTTGCCTGTGTGCCCAAATTTTTTAGAGTTTAAAGACACTGCTGATAACTTCCCTTTGTGATCAGATATGTGATCAAAGCCATCATTAAGATGGCTTTGGTTTTTAGATGTAGTCAGTGGTCACAAAGCTAGACTTTTCACAGTTGTCTATCACAGACCAAACTACAAGTTTATTGATAACATAGTTTGTTTCATTTTGCTTATAAATATCTTATAGATTTTGTGCTTTCGTTTTGTAAGTTGTAGTCTCTAACAGGCATTAATAGAATTTTGGGGGGTAGTTTGTTTTCTTCCTGGTATATGTTAAACCACCAAACCTATTTTTTGGGAAATTTCTAACAACAGTTTGTATAGAAGTTTGCTCAGTTGTAGATAGGTTTTAGAGAACTCCAGGCTACCTAAAACCTCATGAAAATGAATTTGGGATATTGCAAGGAAGTGAAGAGCTCTGACTATTTCTCACTGATAATTTCTAGAACATTTATTCATTTGTGACTACTTCCTTTAGGTAGAAGAAAAGAGACATTTTAAATAATTTTTTCATCAAGGAGATTGGAGATTTTTTTAACCTGGTATGTTAGTCCAAACTTGATTCAACAGTTAAGACAGTGTCTGAATGTAGATCTAATCAAAGGGTTTTATGCAATATTTTGATACCTCATATCAAGCATTCCTGTGGAGGTCTTCGTAGTTGCCACCAACTACTGGGGAACTAAAGAAGTGGTCTCTATATTTAGTCAGGCTCCTACTAGAAAGACAGGAGTCTACCTTGAGAAGTCTCCTTAACCTGTTGGCACAAAGCAAAGTGGTTTCTGCTCAAGGGAAGAGGAAGTTGATCTTTAATTTGCAAACCCCACCTAACCTTTGCTAAGCATGAACCTCATTGGTTTCTCTTCAGTGTAATGAAGCTGGATGTCAGGATGGTGCCAACCACGATTTTGTTTGCTCTCTCCTAGATATGGCTTTGTGGAGTTTGATGATCTGCGAGATGCAGATGATGCTGTTTATGAATTGAATGGCAAAGACCTTTGTGGTGAGCGAGTAATTGTTGAGCATGCCCGCGGCCCACGTCGAGATGGCAGTTACGGTTCTGGACGCAGTAAGCATTTAAAGGGCATTTGTATCAGTGACATGCCTTTGTTACTAAATGTTAATTTTTAAAAGTAATTAATGAATGTTACATGAAAATGTATTGATATTTAAGCCATTTGTTTTTAAAATATGTATCTTTTAAAATGTAAAATTGCAAGTAAATATATTTGATGTTTAATTTTAATTAATGGCATAAATTTCTTGTTTTAATACTTTATAAATATGTTTAATGATGTGTGTTTGTGTTGTTGTTTTGTTTTTCTCTGTAATGCAATTGTTTAACATAGATTTAACAAAGACCTCAATGTTTTAATTAAAAGAATCCTTTGAGGCTAAGATGACTGCCTGTTCCATTTGCTGACCTTGGGTTACCTTTCCATGCGTGGCTCTTTGAACCATTGTGGCCCTTGGCTGACCAAAAACAGGAAGCCATGTGACGACCGCAACCTTTCCCCATTAGACCTGGGTGGTGAGGATCCCAAGGGTTAGACACAGATGAGATTAAACTGAAATAGGTGCCTGAAAATCTTTTTTTTTATCATATAAAATATTCACAAAAATTTTAATCACTGTGAGTAACACCAGTAACTGATTTAGTAATTTGGTTACTTATTTCTAAATTGTTAATAGTTTTTAATTTATGCATGATCTTTATAAATATTAACGAATATATATATATATACTTACAACTTTGTAAATTAAATTTTCATGTTTAGTTGATTGCTTTTTAAAAAAATCTAGTTTGGATTTGAGGGTGGGGATATAGTTAAAATATATGTGCTATTTGGGATGGGGGTGAATGGAATATTTAAGGGAAATATGTGCTATAGCATTTTTTCCTTTTCCTCCACTGAAGTAATCTTACCTATTTGAACCTTCCAAAGGTGGATATGGTTATAGAAGAAGTGGCCGAGATAAGTATGGCCCTCCTACCCGCACAGAATACAGACTTATTGTGGAAAATTTGTCAAGTCGATGCAGCTGGCAAGACCTAAAGGTTTGGACCCTATTAACCTAGGATCAGGTTGGGCGGGAGTTAAGGTTGGGACAGAGGTAACTTTATGCAGACCCAGGCATACACAGAATGCAGTGGTGTTAAATGTTTGAAAGTTTTCCCAAAGCATTTGGAAATTCTCCAATTAAAGGTTCCATAAGAGTACAGAAGACTTCGGAATCTCACTACTACTATATGTTATGGGACCATCACTCTAAGGACAATCTGTGTCAGTGGTTCTCAACCTTCTGGCCCTTTAAATACAGTTCCTCATGTTGTGACCCAACCATAAAATTATTTTCGTTGCTACTTCATAACTAATGTTGCTACTGTTATGAATCGTAAATATCTCATATGCAGGATGGTCTTAGGCGACCCCTGTGAAAGGGTCGTTCGACCACCAAAGGGGTTGCGACCCACAGGTTGAGAACCGCTGACCTATGTTATTTGAAATTTTCCTTCACAGAGAATGTTATAAGACAGTGATTTTCAATCTTTTACATCTCATCGCACACATAAACTGTGTATTTGCGGATCTTAAAAAAAAATAGGTGTGACTTTGAGTCATTCATATCGGATGGCTACTGTTATGTTGGCTGTTGTCATTTATTTATTTATTTGACAATCTTAAGGGAAAAGAGGTCAGTGCTGCTGACTAAATAGTCAGGTATTGCATGTTTTAAAAATTCTTGTGGCATATCAGTTGAAAATCGCTGTTATAGAGAGATACCAATGTAGTTTTTTTCAATTAAAGAAAAAGTTGAAACCACCAGTGTCTTCTGCAACATTAGTTTTAATATGCAGCTTGCAGTGTAGATCCTCCTTGGTAAATATGACTACCTGACCCATGTTTTTTCATAAGATTTACTTGTTTTTCATGGACTAGTCATCCTGAAAAAGTTGTGTGGTGTTTTTTTTTAAATATATTTTATTGATTTTTTTACAGAGAGGAAGGGAGAGGGATAGAGAGTTAGAAACACCGGTGAGAGAGCAACATCGATCAGCTGCCTCCTGCACTCTCCCTACTGGGGATGTGCCCGCAACCAAGGTACATGCCCTTGACCGTAATCGAACTTGGGACCCTTGACTCCGCAGGCTGACGCTCTATCCAATGAGCCAAACCAGTTAGGGCCCGAAAAAGTTTTAATGTCAAAAAGTTAAGATCCAGTGTACTGATCCCAGCTCATTCTTCGAGAATTGTTCGTTTTTAATCTCCATAAGGAAGAAAAGCTTATGAGTAGTGTCTTAATCTGGATGGTCTTTAGAAGAAAGGGTATTCAAAGTTTTCTATCTGGCTTCTCATCTTTAATCCACCATTAAACAAGTTATCTCTAGCAAAGTGAGTTGAGTATATTTAGACTCCCCAGTTTTTTTAT